CTTGCCTGGTGAGGGCCTTCCTGCTCACCGTGAATGGAAGCCAGCAGAGCACCCTTCCCTGCCTCCAAAAAGCCATCCCGTGCTTTGCAGTTGGTTACCAGTGTCACAACCTTGAACATCACCTCATCACCAGCTTCTCGTCTGTTGCAAAACCTTCCTCTTGGTGGCGCCTGGGTGGCTCAGTCGTTAAGCGTCTGCCTTCAGCTCAGGTCATGATCCCAGGGTCCTGGGATCGAGCCCCGCATTGGGCTCCCTGGTCCGCGGGAAGCCTGCTCCTCCCTCTCCCACTCCCCCTGCTTGTGTTCTCTCTCTCGCTGTGTATCTCTCTCTGTCAAATAAATAAAATCTTTAAAAAAAAAAAACAAAACCTTCCTCTTGATGCTGATGGGAAGTTGGATTAGCCTTGCTTGCATGCAGTTAGAGGCCCAGAGCCCAGTTTCACGAGTGAGATAGGACTGCCTGTCCTCTTCTGTTTGCATTCTTTCTGTTTGAAGAACCAGAAGAGTAAATCCTCCAATTGTGAAGAGTAAATCTGAGAACTTTGAGTTTCAGCCTCAGTAAATTCAATTGCACTTTCTCTTTCAACTCAAATTAATGATCTTCATTGTATCTTAGAGAAAAATTCTTGAAACATCATTGAAACATGACCCAAAACCCAGCTGCTGCCCCTTGCCTTCTCTCCTTGACCTGGCCTTTGTGCTTAAGACATTACTGGGATTCTTCTTAGTATGGCCACTGTTGCCTGCTCCCTAACAGCCCAGTCCCACAGACCCTTGTTAGGCCTTACCCTAGTGGATTTCTTAGTGCATTCGACTCTGCCATCCCTCCCTCCAGGAAGGACGTTATTCCCTAGATGCTGTGACCCCACCCACCCCTGATTCCTCCTGTCAGTCTTTCTTGTCCTTTTTCACGAGCTCATCCTCTTGCCTGTTCCCCATATTCCAGGGTGCTGTTCTCATGCTGCTTCTCTCTACACATCCTCTCCTGATGGGTGTTCCACCTTAGGGCCTCGGTTAGCTGCCTGTGCTCAGATCTCTATCTATAGCTTAGAACTTTCCTGAGTTAGGACTCATTCTCCATTCTTTCTGGAAGCACCCTTCTGGATGTCCAGAGTTCTCCACTCACACTGTCCCCTCTCTCCTTATCCACAGCTGGAGCAATGCCTTCCTCCTGTGTCGTCCTCATTGGAGACTTGGGGGTCATTCTGGGGGCGCCCCACCTTCATCTGCCCACACTGCCCCTCAGTCACTGGGTCTGGCTGGTTTTACCTCCCCCACCTCTCTTAAAGCCTCTCCCTTTTCTACTTTGTTGTTCTACTCTCTCATTATAGGCCCTATAAAAATATCTGTATTATTTGTCCATAATACACGTATATGTCTATATAAAGATAGATAATCTATAACCCATAGGTCTGTATTATAGATGTATTTGCATCTCTTGTCTTCACCCTGCAACAACCAGACAGTTGGTTCCTGCCTCCAGTCTGTTCCTTTCAAATCCACCGTCCATTGACTTCCAGAGTGGCAATTCTAAGTGTTGAAGACCCCGGGGGAGACATACGTCTCCTGAAGCCACCTTGCTGGCTCGTCCCACTGTGATCCGGGGGCCGTCTGCTGTGTCTTCTCCACCCCCAGTGGTCCCTGCCCAGGAACTGTCCACCCTTCTCCCAGCCCGCCGTGGCGCCTCTCATTTTTAGAAGCTGGTGGTTAGAACTGGGCTGCCTTATGTTTGGGAAATCCAAGAATACCACCCGTGCCTGTCCTGATGGAGCTCCCAGGGCAGATAAGTTGTTCAGGAAATACTGGCAAATGGGAGATCAGATCATCTCTTTATTGCTGGGGCCTAAAATCCAGTGCAGACCACTGGTCAGGCTGGGAGACTGATACTTCCTGTGACTTCCTTAACCATTCTGCACCACAGTTTCCTCCTCTGTAAGACTAGGATCTGTCCTACGGTGGGGTAATCATACCTACCATAGTAGGTGCTTGGGAGACTCCTAGGAATTAGTCCACACAAAACACTGAGAACGACCTGGCCTGTGGTCACTTCCAGTGTATGTTAGCTAAAACAGTCATAAGTATTATGTTTGATTGCATTTCTTAATAACCCCAGTGTAACGCTGAATAGCAGGCATGCCCTGTGGGTGATTCGCTCTATTTTCTGGCCACAGTAAAAACCTAGAGGTTTTGTTCCACGCGAACTCCACTGTTGTAGGTGCTTGTAGCTTCCTCCTAGCTTTTGGGCAGATTCTGGCCTGAAAGCTCTCAATAAATAAGTTCCCTTTGAAGATCTGGTATCATTCGCTATTTACCAGTATCTGACTTAGACACCAAGTTCTCTGATTTAGTTTGCCCGGATAGCATCGCACTCTGCAGTTGACATCTGCATCCCCAAACTCGTGTGAATTCAGAAAATCCCAAATCTCTCCCTCTCCCTCTCCGTCGTCACTGTGTGCCCAGGGTGGGAGAGTTGCTGACTCAGGTGAGCAGTAAGTACACGCTTCACGAATGAAATCTCAAGACTTGCAGTATTAATAGTGCTGTCAGACTTGACGTCTGACCAGCGGTGTAGAGCTGTCATCTGCACTCTCTTCCACCTCTGTCCCCAGGCCTGTGACAGCCCCAGCAGAATTCCCTGCTGACATGTGGCAACACCTCCTCACAGGTCCTTGTTTTGTCTGAAGTGCCCAGATGCGGCTCAGTGACCACAGTTATGGGGAGAAGACCCCGAGCAGAAGTTCAGTGGTGATTGATTTCACCGAGAGGTTGCAGTGGGCCTGAGGCCGTGGAAGGGCCCTGAGGGAAAGAGGCAGGGCGGTGCGTCTCTCTGACCCTCAGTGCTGGCGAGCATCTGCGGGGCTGCTGACCTCCCCGCATCCACCAAAGGCTATGATCACACGCTCTCGGAGGCTACAGAGTGTCCTCGTGGAGCGAAGATTGGCCAGTCTTTGAAAGCGTCTCCCCCAGCTTTAAGAATTGAGGATTCGGGTAGAAGTTGGTGGTCGGTCTGTCACAGCTGGGCTCACCTGTATACTTTGTGTCTGTCTGCTCACGTTTTGGCCGTTTTTCTCCTCATTAGCGATTCTACTGAGGAGCAAGTCCTGGGAATACAAGAGTTGAAACTCTCACAAAGCAGTTGATGTGCGTGGCCCCAAGAAGGGTGAAATTGTCTCCGGAGCCTGGAGTTTGGTCTGTAGGACCCGTTCTCGCTGTGGCTGCCCCTTCCTGCCTGTTAGGCCCACTGACCACTCAGCGCTAGTGTTAGAGTGTTTTCGATTGTTCTTTTTGATTTCTGTGTAAATGCCAGTGTTCCAAAGATAATTTCATAATATTTGCCTATTTAGGAGATGAAAGCACTTGAAAATGTTTTAGCTTCTATTTTAACTTTGCAAATAATCACATGCTGGCATTTTGGACGTCTTGTTCTCTGCTCAGTAGATAGATGAGAGAGCCTGGTTAATTTTTGCCTTTGTTCCAGGTCCCTTTTGTTTAATCAGTCCTTGTGGGCTGAGCCACAGGGCCAAGTGCAGCACGTGCCGTGTGGTGCAGAGCATCCCGTGACCAGAGAGTCACCTTGTGGACGGTGGAGTCCCTAGGGAACGTTTCAGGCTTTCTCCCTGCTTTGACTTCCTTGTGTCTTTCTCTCTGAGAATGGCCCTCCTGGGAGTGACGGGATTTCCTTAATAGGCCAGGATGGTGCCTTTCTGTGTGCTGGGGTGGAGCAGGGTGAATTCTGAGGAGGCTTCTGAGGAAGCCTGGACAAGACTTAATAATTAGTTGAATAGTAAAAGGAAAAGTATAGGATGATGATCAGGTTTCTGCTTTCGGGTGATGAGCTGATTTTGCAGAAAGTGAGTCTGAAATTGTGTATGTTTATTTGGAGGGACCTACAGAGAGCATCCCTGTAGAAATACCTACCTGGAAGACGGTTGAAAATTCCTATTTGTGGTTTGGGAGAGATCACAACTGGATATATATCAAGCTGTCAAAATGATCAGCAGGAGAACAAACAGGCCCAAGGACAGAACCTTGGAGAAAGCCAGCATTTCTCATTGTCCCACCCAAATCCCCCGCCATGGACTGCTCCTTCTCTCCCATCCCCGTGGGCCAGCAAGCTGCTTGTGCTCCCAAACGGGCCCCGAATGCACACTTGGGATTCATGTAGCACTCTGCTGGACGGTCGGAAACCACGTGGTTCAGAGGGATACTGATACTGTCTTGATTGGGAGTCAGGGTGTGGGACACGACCGTGATCCAGATGTCTGTCCATCACTCATCCGATGGCCAGGTCTCACTGGGTTCCCCAAGGGGCCTGAGCAGCCACCCCTTTCCTCCCCACCACTCATTCTGAGCCCCCCAAAGCAATGCAAGGTCGCAGCAGGGCTGCATGACCCATGGCATCCTTATCTTGAAAGTGTTTGCCCTGCCCAGGTAAGGGGTTGGAAATAGATTGACCAGGTGGATTTCCCTAATGGTGGACAGCTATGGGTGGATACTTATGTATATGCATGTGCTTGCAGGTAAATGCTGTGGAGGAAATGATTTAGTTAAAGAAGCAATTACATTGGGGAATTAATTGTGAGGGGAGCTACTTTGAAAGACATTCACTTGAACAACAGCAAAAAGGAAAGTGATCGATTACTGTATTGCTTTTTTTGTTATTTTTTCTTGAACAAGAACTGGAGCAGACAAAATAAGACAAGAAATGAAAGCATCCAAATTGAGCAGAGACCCTGCCTGCTCTGGGGGCACCTTGCATGGTCCCCGCAGAGGCAGGACTCAGCATCCTGAGGTTGCGTGTCTCCCCCCTCCTCCCCCCCCCCCCGCCCCGGAGTGTTTCCCCAGGGGGCAGCCTGCTCATCACAGGCTTTGGGATGTCAGACTCCCTGGGGTGGGAGACTAGTGGAGGAAGACAGTGGGGCGAGTTACACCTCTTCTTCCCTGGAAGCTCGATCTCCTCTGGGGCTCCCCTTCCCTAACCCGTCCTCCTTGTCCCTGCAGCCTTTCCGCTGTGCCCACTGCCACTACTCCTGTAACATATCCGGCTCTCTGAAGCGACACTACAACCGGAAGCACCCCAATGAGGAGTACGCCAACGTGGGCACCGGGGAGCTGGCGGCCGACGCGCTCATCCAGCAAGGTAGGCAGTGTGCCCCCCCAGGTGGAGCTGGGCATCTTACAGCTCAGTCCGATCCCTGGGCGTTTTGTTCGTTCTCCATTGTTGTCTTTGTGCTCCACCTCCCCCACCCCCATTGCTGTGGATCAGCATTCCTTATTGCCTCACCAGAAATCTGAAATGAAGGAAAGTCATCATTTACCCACAGTTTTTACTACCCTCCCCACAACATTCAGTATTGCCTTCTGTTCTTTGTCTTTGTGGACCTTTTTCAGAAATGAAAGTTCCTGGCTAACGTGAACATTCTGTTTTCTTTTGACACGTGGTCTCCCTCGTTATAACTCCCAAAGGCTTTTTGGGATTTAGCATGCAGTGTCGGGACCTCATTTATTTAGCCATGCTCCTGTTGGACATTGTAGGGTTTCCAGATTTTTCCTTTATTGCAGTTATAAATAATGCTATGGTAAACGTATTTGTAGGTGAGCTTCTTTTGATGATCCAGAAATATTTATTGAGTGCTCAGATTACTTATTCATCCTGAAAAGGATAAACCATTTAGAACATTTAAACGAAAGAGAATGGATGAGGGGTGTCTGGGTGGATGGCTCAGTTAGTTGGGTGTCTGTCTGACTCTTGATTTCAGGTCATGATCTCGGGGTCCTGAGATGGAGCCTTGCATCGGGCTCCGCACTGAGGGTGAAGCCTGCTTAAGATTCTCTGCCCCTTCCCCGCTTCTCGCTCTCTCAAAAAAAAAGAAAGAAAGAAAGAAAAGAGAATGGATGAAAACCGCTGTTTTTGAAAAGTATGAGAGATTTTTTTTTTGCTGCCTGTTTCAGTAAATGATCACATATTCCCATTTGAGAAGATTTAGCTCATGTGCTGTTGCCAGACAGAGAAGTGCTGTTGTATTTATATCCGCGCTTCACTAATTCAACTAAGAAAATGATAGCCACATACAGTACAGCCATTTTTACTACTTCCTGAGTCCTGTGACTCTTGGAAACCACGGACCGTTTTAGAAATCTGCCCCCGGCAAACGTGGGTGTGGGATGCTAACTCTGCAGCAGCTTTGGGCACTCTGAGTTTCCGGTGCAGAGCGAGGCCCCGCTCGTTGGAATCGCCATGAAATGCATCTCAATATAAAACAAACGAACTGACTGAATCCTTCAGCACTTTCCGTGGCAGGGCTGATGTATGGAAATAGATAACAGCATGAAAACTCAGGATAATTTTAGAGCCATTCATCTGGGGTAACGGGGCGTGTGTGCCTTGTATTTTAAGGACTGTTTGCTGGAGCTGGAGCCCGGGCTGGTGTCATGGGGGAGCCCTGGCTCACCTCCCTGCCCTCCTCCCTTAGCTGTGCTTTCGGGCGAGTTACCCAGGCTCCCCAGCTCTGGGCCTTCACCTAAAAACGGAGCTGATAGCGGCCACCTCTCGTGATGGCGGACAGGGTCAAAGGAGAGAACATCTGAGTGGCACTCAGTACATTTTCATTCTTTTTTTTTTTTTCCTCCTGAAAACATCTAAGATCTCTAGAGCCATTGCATCATTTTTGATGACCCCCATCCAGGAATCACAGAGGAGAGAACGAATTGCCTTAGAGTCACCGTAGATTGCTGGAGAAGCAGGCTAGACATTCCTTTTAACATTCCTTCACACTGTCGGGGTGGGTTGGCAGGAGACAGACCCTTACTGTGGCTGCTGGGACAGGCGTGGGGCTCTGAGTGATGATCTTATCACTGCTCTCTGCTTCCAAACTTCTGTCATTGCCTTGCAGTGCCGAACTGCTGCCTGCCCTACGTTTTCAGTTAGCTTCCTCAGACGGTCATCGGGTGGCATTCCCTGACAGGGTCTGGGTTTTAATTTTCATCTTTGCAGGGGTGTTTCTGGTCTTCTTTCGTGTGTGTGTGTGTGTGTGTGTGTGTTTCCAGTGCCCCCTTCAGGAGACATTGAGGCATTGAGGAAGGAAACAACTACATGTCTCTTAGCTTGTAAGAGATGTTGTGCCATTGAGTTGTGGCGGGAGGCTAGTCTCTGGAATCAGGCAGCTGGTTGAGCATGAACGCAGCTTAGACATCTCAAGAGCACGAAGCTCACGCTGTTCCCCTGTCTGGGAGAAGGAAGGAGAATGGAGGGGCAAAGTGGGATGGATGCAGTTACTGTGTTTGGAATGCTGGGTCCTCGGAAACCACTGGAATTCTTCCTTTTCTTTTGATGAGTTTCAAGTTATTTCTGCCTCTGCTCAGTTCTGTGTTTCTCTTCTACTCATCAGGAAATATCTTCATGGGACTTTATAATTTCTTGTTTTGATAAAGAGGAATGTGTTAGAATGACATAATTCACAAACCGTGAACAAACTGTAGTTTTTCTCCAAATGATGGGGACTCCTTGTCCATCAGTCGTATTAAGTGGTGGCACGCTGGGCCACAGGCAAAGCCATCGGTTGTGGACAAAGGTTCTCCTATCCACAATGCTCAGGGATTTGGGAAGGATGTCAGTGTATAGTGCTGTGCAGGAGGTAGGGAGGGGGCCTAAAGGCCGAGATGTTTCTGTTCCTCGTAGGTTTCTGGGGGAAGGTAGCATGGTGCTCTCCATGGAGTCCGGGTTATTTTCAGCGGGCTTCAGAAGCCCTCTGGAATGGCGGCTGCTCAGGCATCCACCGGCGGCGTTCTGTAAATGTTTACCTCCCAGGGGCAGAGAGACAGGAACCTGACTCACAGCATTTGCCCATTTCTGGGGTGGGGGGATCTCTACTGTGGCCCATTTTAAGCTACCAGTGTGATGTCACTAACTGGGAAGAGCTGTGCCCAGCCGGCTTGTGAGCTGGTTGAAGTCAGCTCCAGCCCACTTCTGGTCCTCAGGGCACAGGGCTGACAATGCCAGCAATGTGTCCACCGGGCCCCTCAGGAGGCACCAATTCTCTGAGAACTCTGGTGCTTTCTGGTAATTAGACTTGTCCCGAATGCTAGGTATGTGTTTTGTTCCCTGCTTCTATTTGATGGACTTCTGATCATTCAGAGGCAGGTCAGACAATCTCTTGCTCATTTTCTTAGCCCATCGCTTGTTCATTAATATGGATTGGAGGCATTTTCCCACACAAACACACATTTTCATGTTGTATTGCTGCAGTGGACCTGCCCATTTTTCCTCTTGAAATATGTCTGATTAAGTTCACTCAAGAGCTCGTTCACTAGATCACAGGTTGAGAGGCATAAGATGCTTTAGCACTAAGCTTCACAAATTATTAGCTCACTCCTAGAGCTCACAGCAGGATAGAGCTGGGACTTAGCAGGCTGCTCGTTTTCCAGTGACCTCAAAGTGGTCCTTCAAGTCACTCCAGATTGTTGACATGAGTACAGGGAGGGGGGTCAGCTGGACTTGGAACCGGGATGTCTGATCACTGTGGCCCTGGGATGACTTAACTTCTCTGATCATTGACGTTCCACATCTTCGAAGAGGAGGGGCTCATACCTGCCCAGCAGTAGCTACAGGGATTAGGTATTATTCTCTAAGGTCCCAGACTGTGCCCGACACGTAGCACTTAATAAATGGCTGAAATTTACAGTCGTCCTATTCATTCCCACGTTCTTTCTTCACCACGTTTCTCTTGGGCTCTAGTTGCTCAGCACTGCGCTGGACGGACACTGGGGTATGGGGGCATTTATCGCCGGTGTGGCCTGGGCTGCAGATGAGGGCTGGGAAGCTCCTCCAAGGCTCCATCTTCTGACTGTAACCCAGCAGGTGCGCTGCTCACAGGAGGAGAATTCGAGGCTTCTCCTCGGTGCTGACCCTTCTCCCAGCCCCCGCTGTTACAGGGTCATTGAGGCAGGGGTAGTGGTTGGGACAGGAAGCAGTGAGAGGAGTAGGCTCAGGGAGAAGGCTTCATTTGCAGCATCTGCTAAAATCTTTGCATTATTTTGGGTGGCTCAGTCGGTTAGGCATCTGCTTTCGGCTCAGGTTATGATCCTGGGTCCTGGGATGGAGCCCTGCATTGGGCTCTGCACTCAGCGGGGAGCCTGCTTCTCCCTCTCCCACTCCCCCTGCTTGTGTTCTTTCGCCCTCTCCCTCAAATAAATAAATTAACAAAAAAATGTTTGCGTTACTTTGAACTACCATATGAGAAGAATGTAATTGTGTGTACGTATGCATCTTCGATGTATATCCGTATCTTAGCTTTTCACACCAAATTCGGGGAAAATAGCATAGGAGGAAATCCAGAAACTATCAGCTAACACAAAAGTCAGTTGTCTGATTCTGGGACATTTGGATTTTAAAAGTTGTTTTTATTAAGGCCCAGATTCCATATATTACTGGCAGATGCTTCCAGTGCTGTGATGTCATCATGTGTGTTATTGGTTCTTATATGTTAATTTCGCTCTCACAGAGGCCCTGTGAGGTTGACATCATCATCCCTGTTTTTTTTTTTTATAAGATTTATTTATTTTAGAGAGAGAGTATGCAAATGGGGGGAGGGTCAGAGGGCGACGGGGAGAGAGAGTCCCAAGCAGACTCCCCACTGAGAGAGAACCCCAGTGTGAGGGTTGATCTCAGGACCCTGAGATCCTGATGTGAGATGAAATCAAGAGTCAGACGCTTTGCCGACTGCACCACCCAGGCGCCCCTCATTGTTCCTGTTTTAAAGTGAGGAAACACAGAGTCGAGGGGGAAATGATTAGCCCAGGCAACAGAGTGAGCAGGTGGCCGAGCCACACCCAGCTCTGGATTCAGAGTCTGGATTCTTACTGCTGCTGGGCCGACGCCCCCTGAAGTTTGTCTCAAGTGTGCACTTGTTAAGGAGGAGGAAGAGGGGGAAGTGGCATGGTCCTGTTCTGGGACAGTGATCGTTTCGCATTGGCTAATGGTCACATGATGCTGGTCGGACACTTGGGGTGCTGTTGACTTTTTCTTATTTCTTTGTCTCCAGGTCTAGTTGCTGGTCTGACCCAAGGCTAACTCTGGGACCTGTCTCTCTTTCAGTGCTTCCCTGTGGTTGTCCAGAGGATCTCAGATGCCAAGATTTTGGGGAGCGTGTAAAGGGACCAGGAGGAATGGCAGAGACTTGTTTAAACTCTTGTTTCCCTAGTGGTCCTCACTGGGGTTTGGGATACCAGCCTGGCTAATAATAAAATGCACTTCATTTTTCCTCTGCTGTTTTCCCTTACACTGTTTTTCTTGAACGTCTTCTGGGAAGCAGGGCTGGGGTTTGAGAGAGATTCAGATACTGTCTGATAGTATGCCATGTGACCAGGGCCCTCCACCTAGTGCTTGCACAGGATTAAGATTACAATCCTGCTTCTGAGCTGGGGCTCTGGCTGGGTCCCAGGACAGGCACTGAATTAAGAGACAAGAAGTGAGAATGTTCACAAAGTCTGATTCCACATTTTACTTCTTAATATTGTATAATCAAATTGCTCTGTATCCACTTTCCTTTGATAATTGAGCTCCTTTGGTCCGGTTGCTGTTGAGTGCCTGTATTAGTCTCTTATTGCAGCTATAACAAATGACCAGAGACTTGGCGGTGGTTTAAACCACACAGATTCATTGTCTTATGGTTCTGAAGGTCAGATGTCCAAGATAGGTCTCACAGGCTGAAGTCAGGTTTGCTAACAAATCCGTATTCCTTCTGGAGTCTCCAGGGGACAGGCAGTGTGTTCTCCTGCTTTGTCCAGCTTCCAGAGGCTGCCCTTGCCTGGAGCCCCTTCCTTCCCCCATCCTCACGGCCAGCAGGGGCTGTGAGTCTTCCTCCTGTTGCTTCTCTGTGACCCGTCTTCTGCCTCCTCTTTGTAAGGACCCTTGTGATACATTAGTCCTGCCTGAACAATCCAGAATAATCTCCCCATCTCAAGGTCCTTGATGAATCACAACTTCCATGTCTCTTCTTGCCATGCGAGGTAACACTCCCCTGTTGCAGGGATCAGGATCTGAATATCTTTCTTTTGTTTTTCTTTTTTTATGTTTATTTACTTTCCATCATAATAAAAACCCCACATACTGTCTTTGTTGTTTATCTATGCACATTCCATTTCACATGGTCAGCTCCTGGGGGCCAGGACCCCCACCTGTTTCATGTGGGGTCACATTGTCAATAGAGCCCAGGCCAATTTACTGACAGGTCCGCACTGCTTTTTTTTTTTCAGCATTATTGGGGTGTCATTCACAAAGCTGTAAGATATTTAGGATTCTCATCCTCTAGTCAGCTAATAAAATCCTTTCACTGTTGTTGAGAATGTTTTAAGTTCTCCTCTCTTCGCGAACTTCAGTTATCAGCGATTGTCACCGTGTTTCACATTAGATCCTCAGACCTTATTCATCTTACAACCGCAAGTGTACAAGTGTATACTCTTTACCAATCTCTCCCTACTTCCCCTGTCCCCCAGCTCCTGGCAGCCACTTTTCTGCTCTGTTTCTATGAGTTCAACTTTTTTTTTTTTTAATTTCCCATATAAGTGATACAATGCAGTATTTGTCTTCTCTGTCTGACTTACTTCCCTTAGCATAATGTCCTCTAGGTCCATCCATGTTGTCGAAAATGTCAGATTTCTTTCCTTTTCATGGCTCACTAATATTCCTGTGTGTGTGTGTGTGTGTGTGTGTGTGTGTGTGTGTGTACCCACCCCGACTGCTTTATCCATTCATCTATTGGTGGATACTGAGGTTGTTTCCATATCTTGGCTATTGTGAATCACATTGCAGTGAACATGGGAGTACAGGTATCACTTTGAAATTCTATTTTCATTTACTTCCAATATAAACCTGGCAGTGGAAGGGCTGTATCATATGATGGTAGTATTCTTAATTTTTTGAGGAACCTTCATACTCTTTGCCACAGTGGCTGCATCAGTTTACGTTGTCCCCAACAGTGCACGAGGGGCCCCTTTTCTCCCTGATGTGAATATCTTTGGGCGTCCATTATTCTGCCTACTGGAGTGCCCTTTTTTTTTTTTTAAGATTTTATTTGTTTATTTCAGAGAGGGAGAGCACAAGCAGGGGGAGTAGCAGAGAGAGAGAGGGAGAAGCAGGCTCCTCGCTGAGCAGGGACCCTGAAGCGGGGCTCTGAAACCATGATCCAGGCCAAGGCAGACACTGAACCAACTGAGCCATCCAGGTGCCCCTGGAGTGCCTTTTTTCTGAAGATAAGAGCTTTAACATTTCCCCCTAGAGAACACAAAGCCCTTAGAGTTTTAGGAAGTGGCCTCTGGGTCGCATGAGCAAGTGCCAAGTTCTGGCATCTGACTGCCCAACCCAGTGCTCTGTGCTGTTCCAGGAGTCATGTTATTGGAGATAAAGTTGGATTTTCAGTAAGGTCGCCCACCACAAAGGAGCAAAGATACTGTAATGCCTAAAACTCTTCCAGAACACTGCATTCCAAAAAGAGCAAAAGATGCCATGATCGATTTTTCAAATTGCGCCTGGAGTTCTGTGCTTTTGCTGCTTCATCATGCCTTCTGAGGAAACTGTGACTTAGAGGTTTGCGGTTTTTATGGTGTGTACTTTATATCAGCGCCACAAGTAAATGCACCAAGTCCTCCATGACCTTTATTGTGCACTGCCTAAGAGTGTAATGAATTGAACTAGAAATTAATGTCTCTCAGCTTTGATGTCAGTTAAGTGGCATAGTTCTGCATTTAGTCTAGATTACGTATTTCAACGTGGTGTTCTTTAATTAAAGGCCGTGTGGCAGAGGTTGAAGTTTTAATTAATATGGGGCATTATATTAATTTTAATTTAAACATAATGTAAGGATGTTTTTCTCCTTAAATTAGTTTCCATTAAAGAGTCCTGCGGAAGGAGTCTTTAATGTCATTTAGGTTGCTTTTGTTCACTGCCTCTTGTTAAGTCTTTGTAGGGGGAGCTATGTCAGTTGAGCCAAATGAAAAGGCAGAGGTTCTCACACCTTGGAGAGTTTTAAAAGATGACCATAGGAAAATACATCATTTTAGATGATTAATAAGTGATAACAAAGGAAGCTCAAAACTACTTTTAATTATCATCTAGGCAGGAAAGAACAAGCCCATTTGGTTTGGCCTAAAAAAAGAGTGCAGAGTGTGCAAGTTTCAGAAACTAAGCATCTGGTGGAGCTGCCTCCTCTGTGGAATGTTCTGGAAGTTTATGATTTGGTATTGCCAGTCTTTCTGCTGATTCCATCCCCTGTCTCTGTCGGACCCGCTATGCTGTGCCGTGCCCTCCCAGCATAGTGAGTGGTAAAGCCGTGAGCTGACGGTACAAGGGGGTGCACTGTTGGCCGTCTGGGTCGGCTTCCTTTTGTGCTCATGACTGTTTGGGGAGTCACTCAGCTCCTTGGGTGATAGGAAACCCCAATTACAGAGCTGTGCACCCTCAGATCCCACCGACACGGAACTGATTGAGGAGATAGATCACTCACATCCTACTTGCATCTGGGAGAGGCTTACATTGTATTATGCATCCCCATGAAATGTGCCTGGTGATTGTGTAATTTGTCAGGACAACCTCATCATCAGGGCGGAATTCCTCTACTCCCTCCAAGGTCACACAAGGGTGACAGTAAGGTCACACAGCCACAGCAAAGAGCTGGGATTTTATTCTGGGTCTGATGGAAAGCCATTGGAGGGTTTTACACCTGTGAGAGATGTGATTCAGCTTGTGTTTTTATTTTATTTACTTATTCATTTATTTGCGAGATGGGGGAGGGGCAGAGGGAGAGGGAATCTCAAGCAGACTCCTGCCAAGCACAGAGCCTGACGTGGGACTCAGTGCCACGACCCTGAGATCATGACCTGAGCCGAAATCAAGAGTTGGAGGCTCAACTGAGCCACCCAGACGCCCCTAGTTGTGTTTTTAGAAGCCCCATCTGTGTGCGGGGTGGAGAGCAGACCAGCAGTGGCTGCAGGGAAACCGGTTATGCCCCCCACGTGCTCCCACCCAGAGCAGGGTGGCGGCTTCATGGGGGCAGCCGACTCTGGCCTGCTAATCATCTGTGTGGATATGGAGGCCTGCTGCCTGGACACCTTCCCCAGCGGTTAGAGGTTGCTTCTGAATTCACAGCCTGTTAAAGTGGGTTTTTCTCAGTCACTAATGTAGTTGCTGCTCCTGATAGAATTTTAGAAAAATAATCTTTTGTGTGATTCTTAGGTTTTTTTCTATTTTTTTTTCCCTAGAGTTTTACATGCTCTTAAATCCAAACACTTCACAGAACATGTATAAAATGTAATCAGCTCAATAAATAGTGACGTTTCAGGATGTGACCAACTTTTTAATTTGTTCTTTACTGGGAAATCCAAATGGGAATTTATACAAATGGCTCAGCTTTTGATGTGAAGGATGAGAATCAGGCTCTTGGTCTTAGTATTTGGGGACAAAGATGATTGAGAAAAGCAGCCTTATCCTTCGGTTATTTGCTTTTTTTCAAACGAAAAAAAGTGAAAGAATCCTTTAGGCCACGTATTCACATGGCCACGGGAATTCTGTCACTCTGGCACCTAAAATATTATATATATTAGACTCTCTGCAAACGCTCGTTCAAAAATGAAAAGAAAAACATTAAGCTTTAAAATTTCTGTCCTGAAAAACACCTCTTCTGTCACTGTTCTGCTCTCTTGCGAAGGGAGGCCGGGACTAGAGGTAGGCGCTGCAGACAGAACCGTGCGTTCCCTGGCCTTGAGGTGTTTGGACGGGAGGCGGCCCTGTGGCACTTCCCCGTGCTGTGAACGCTCCTTTTTCCTCTGTGCCTTCAGGTGGTTTGAAGTGTCCTGTGTGCAGCTTCGTCTACGGCACCAAATGGGAGTTCAACAGACACCTGAAGAACAAGCATGGCCTGAAGTTGGTGGAAAACGAAGGAGATTCCAAGTGGGAGGTAACTTTCTAAAGCACGGTATTGATCTTGACATTTCCAGATACAAATGACATACCGAGCAGGCCCGGGTCCTGGGCACAGTCAGCGGCTCCTCAGAGGACTGGGTTTTCTGGTCGGGAAACTAGGAAATCTTTTCAAAGCCTGTCTTCTGTTGGAGGGGTGAGACCAGGGCTGTGCCTGCAAATTCTTACCCTGAGTTGCACTGAGAATGTCTGTATTGGTCTCTCACTGGTATTTGCATTTCTGTGATTCACCAATCCAGAGTATCAGCTCTTTTTTTTTTTTTTTAACATTTTATTTATTTATTTGAGAGAGAGAATGAGAGAGAGAGAGAGAGCACATGAGAGGGGAGAGGGTCAGAGGGAGAAGCAGACTCCCCGCCGAGCAGGGAGCCCGATGCGGGACTCGATCCCGGGACTCCAGGATCACGACCTGAGCCGAAGGCAGCCGCTCAACCGACTGAGCCACCCACACGCCCCCAGAGTATCAGCTCTTGCCCCTGAGGGAAGGATGCAAGGCAAGGAGTCTTCACCAGAAGAACTGGGAAGGGCTCCACCTTCTGATTCTAGGCCCCACGGTCCTGCTGCTAAACATGTGTCCCACCTGCCATCTTTGTTTTATCCTCGGGTGTTAGAACCAGTCCCCTGGCTGGAAACACATTTGTGTGATCAAAGCCAGTAGCTGTCTCTTTCCAAGCACCAAGTGTCACCTCCACGGACTAATTGCAGCTTATGTAAGGTGGGGTTTCCCAGACTCAGCAGTGATCTTTGACATGATAACCTGTTGTAGGGGCTATTCTGTGCATTTTAGGATGTTTCGTAACATCACTGACCTCCACCCCACCACCCCCTCCACTCCCCACCCCCCCGATACCGTGGCATCCCCAGTTGTGACATTGCCGATGTCTCCGGGAGCCCAAATCACCCCCAGATGAGAACCACTTATCCAGGCATTTTCTGGAGCATCAGCATATGGTGATTAAGAGTAAGGGCTTTGAAAACAATCCAAGAACACATGAAAAAAATAATACAGGGCGCCTGAGTGTCTCAGTCGGTTAAGTGACTGCCTCCAGTTCAGGTCATGATCCTGGAGTCCCGGGATCGAGTCTCCTGCATCGGGCTCCCTGCTCGGCAGGGAGTCTGCTTCTCCCTCTGACCCTCCCCCTCTCAAGCTCTCTCTCTCTCTCATTCTCTTTCCCTCTCAAATAAATAAGTAAAATTCTTTAAAATAAAAAAAGAATAATACATCACAAGAGTGTGAGGATGATTCCAGAATGTGAGGAAAGGATGGTTCAGTAGGAGGGAGTATTTTAATATAATCCATCATCATAATAGAACTAGGGAGAAGAATGAAATGATTATCTTCACACATTCAGAAAAGGCACTTGACAAACTTAAGCGTCTGCCGATTAAAAACAGGGTACAACTGGGTGAATATATCCTTAATATATCCTTAACATGGAAAAAAACATCCATGCAGTTTTCTAGCTAGCATCTTACTTGGTGAGGGAACACTGGAGGGTGTCTTCTTGAATCAGGAACAAGATGAGGATGCCCCAGGAGCTCTGCTCTTGAACATCAGTTGGGAGGTATCAGCCAATGTGTCCAACAAGGCAGAGTAAATAGTGACATTAAGAATTGGAAGGGAAGGGAAGGCAGTCGGTTCAGCGACTACCTTCAGCTCAGGTCATGATTGCGGGGTCCTGGGTTCGAGCCCCGTGTGAGGCTCTCTGCTCAGCAGGGGAGTCTGCTTTTCCCCCTTCCCCTGCTCATGCTCTCTCTCTTTCAAAGTAAAAGAAAAAAGAATTGGAAGGGAAGAGGGCGACTGGGTGGCTCAGTTAGTTAAGCATCTGCCTTCAGCTCAGGTCGTGGCCTGGATCCCCGGGATCGAGTACCATGTCAGGCTCTCTGCTCAGTGCGGAGCCTGCTTCTCCCTCTCCCTCTGCTTCTCCACCTGCTTGTGCACGTGCTCTCTCTCTCTCTCTCTCCCCCTATCCAATAAATAAATAAAATCTTAAAAAAAAAAAAAAAGGCATTGGAAGGTAAGAAATAAGGTCTCTATCTGAAGATGGCAGAATTCTATTTTTGGAAAATCCAAAAGAAGGAATGAAAAACTACTAGCATGATAAGCATCAGGTTGAAACATAAACATAAAATAATGAATAGCTAGCTTGTATATGTAGAGAGAGGCAAGAGCGAAAAGATCAGAGATTTAAATGTAAAAACAGTGACATTTTAGGAATACCAGAAGAAAAACCCGAGTGAATGAATTCATGTCTAAATTCAGAGTGTGGAGAGCTTGCCCAACTATGACTCAGAATCCAGATTCATCAAGGAGAAAGATTGAGAACAACTGACTACATTTTAAAAAGTCTTATGGAAAAGAACTCATAAAAAAGCTCAAGAGACAAATGACAACAAAATACTTGTGGTCATTTAGTAGAAAACAGATGAGTATCTTGACGTTACAGAAGTCTTGTAAAAATAATGATCAACAGCCCTGTAGGAAAATGGGCAAGAGATAAGAAAGGTTCACAGAAAAAGAAATGCAGGTGACTTTGAATATCTGAAAACATGATAGCACATGTTGATGGAAACAGAGAGAGAACGTCTTACCTATTAGAATCCAGAATTGGACATCCTCTCTGTTGGAGAGGCTGAGGGGAAAATGCACTCGCATGCATTGCGGGTGGGAATGCAAAATGTTACTGTCTCTATGAGCGGGAATTTAGCAACATCTAGTAAAATTACTTGTGCACTTTTTTATCCATTAACTAAACAATCCCACCACTAGAAAAGTACCCTAAAGTAATGCTGACAAAATGAGAAAAGGTGTCTGCACCACGCTATCTATCACAGCCCTATTATGTATTATAGGTTTAGATAGAGGAATAGGTTCCTTGTGTGCTAAGTCCAGATGTGTGCCTATACACAGTCCATGTACATTTGTTTCTTAGCCTTTTGTGCTGAGAGCCCAGAAGCAGTGACACTCAGTGGCCGTGAGTACACCTCCCCAGATCTCGGTTTCTAATAGGGGTCTCCAATAAAAGCAACCAGGGTCCTTTGAAAAGTGAATTCCAGAGCTGTGGCAGAAAATATGTAAGATGATCCTAGAGTATTTTGTGGTCCTAGAAAGTAACAACATGCTTCTCCCCCCACCCCTACCTCCCGAAAGATGGAGGCATGTCAAAAGGATACAAGAGACAACCCAAAAAGTTCCCAATGGCCAGAGCCGGAACAATTTAAATAACTAAACAATGATCAGGGCACCTGGGTGGCTCAGTTGGGTAAGCATCTGGCTTGGGCTCAAGTCATGATCTCAGGGTTCCGGTTCGAGCCTTAAGTAGGGCTCCCTGTTCAGCAGGGAGTCTGATTCTCCTCCCTCTGCCCCGCCTGTGTGCTCTTTCTCTCTCAAATAAATAAATAAAATCTTTAAAAAATAAGAAAAATAAACAATGATAGTGTTGTACTACAACTCAAAGAATAAAATAAATATCAGTGAGTCCATACTAATATGAACAAATGGTGGGGAAGGAACAGTTCTTGTGCACAGAAGAATTCTGAGGGATATACTTGGGAGGAATGAGGGAAATAGAGAATTTGCATTAGAACACCATAGTAATCATCGCTGCAGGCAAGTCCATCGAATGGGTGCTGAAATTAGAATATAAGGAGAAACAGAACATTTACATGGCCTCAAAATCTCTCCCCCAAGATAGTCACTAGATCACAGAGGGAAAGAGTAACTATTCAGTAGAGGCATCTGGCAGACCCGTGCTAACCGTGCGACCAGAGGTTAGCATCCCCAGTAAGTCACAGTGACATCATGTGCCACCTGACATGATGAGAAGGGCATGCTCCTTCCCCGCCGTGGTATTCTTCAAAAAAGCCTCAACCTCCGTCTACTCATGAGAAACCGTCAGACGTATCCAAATGATGTGTCGATGTGTGTGATCAGATCCCTGACCGGGATTCCTCAAGAGTAATGCTCACGAAAGACCAGGAAAGCCTGAGGGGCTGTCCCTGGTCGGAGGACACCATGGAAACTTGGTGACTGAGCCCTGGGTCCCGGAACAGAAAAAGGACACCAGGGAGTAAGCTGTTCAATCCGGGTAAAGTCTGTGGTTAATAGTATGGCTCCAGTGTTAATTCTGGGCTTTGATAATTGTACCACGGTTGCGTCAGATGTTACCGTGAGGGGAAGTTGGGTGAAGGGTATATAGGAACTCTTGGTTTTATCTTTGCAACTCTTCTGTAAATCGAAAAATATTTCAAAATAAAATAGTCATAAAAGACGGGGGGGGCATTTTATGTGGAGTGGTAGGGCCACACCAAAATGGAGGAGATAAAGAGATAAGCCAGATTTCTCTTAGCACATCCAGTTGTACAGATGTGGCTCTGAAACCATGGATATATTTCATATAATACTAAAAAAAAAAATCGAAGTTTAAAAAAATGCAAGCCCTAAAAATTGAGAGGAAAGTGAAATAAATGATTCTAACTGTATATCAAAATGATGGCTTAGCTACACAGAGGGACTGTTTCCACAGACTCTAAGATAGGAGTTTGCTCCTCCTAGTGGGGTATAAGCTAAGGGCAAATAGAACTGCAAAGACATGTACTGTTTTCAGTTACTCTGTTGTTGGCGGTGGGGAGGGGGGCTGATAGCGTAACTCTGAGCCTGTTGCTAGTGTTTAGTAAGTACAGTGAAACACATCAAGAATATTTCAGTCCATGGGTTTATACTGACATTGGGGAGAAAACTCAGTCACCTTTGTAGGATATTAGGGCATCAACTCTGTTTTGGTAAATAAAGGCCCAGAGTCAAATAGTTATTTTAATCTTTTCTAAACTAACTATACCTCAATATAACCAAATGTCTGGTGAGGAGAAGCTTCTATTTATAGATGTTTTCCAGCTAACAAATGAAGATCGACAGTATCGCCATTTTGCAAGCCCCTAATGGTGTCATGGATCCAGCAGTGGCCATCCCTTACCTACTGACATCACAGAAATAATGAAGACACCCAGACGTCATGTGTCTCCTGTTAGAAGTACACCATATAACTCATGAAACATTCTTGCCAAAAAGGGAACCGGTATCTGATTAAGCTTCTACATCTACCAACTTGCAGGAAACACAGTGGCCAGAAAACACAGTGGACATTCAGTGATTCCACAGTGGTGCCATCAGCAAAGTTCAGACTATTGGAAACTCTGCAGACAAACAGCCCACTTTCCCCAACAGAACTATAATTCGGGGTTGGGGGGTCGGAGTCAGAACGGAGGGAGAACCTATAAATAAAAGTCTTATGAGACATGTCAGTCCATTCTAATACATGGATTCAGTGACTTAAATTTGATTTGAAGGGTCAGTTATGGGAAATAAGATACTGGAGGCACAAGGACATGGCCTGGCGTGTGGTCACGTTAAGGACTTACTGTTCGGTGTTTGATGTCACAGTGGTGGTGTGCTTGTGTTTTGAAAGGGTTTTATCTTTCGGAGGTACCTTCTAAAATATTTATAGATAAAATGCTATGACTTCTGCATTTGCTTCAAAATATTCCAAGGGGAGGGCGTGGAGTGTGTGTGGGGACAGAGGGGAACTAAGACTGGTCGTGAATTGATAATTACTGAAGTTGGGTGATGTGTACACTAAGGGTTCATCTCCCTGTGGTTGTGTGTGGGGGGAATTTTCTATAAGAAAATATGGGAAGTATGTGCATTGGAATTTGACAGACTTTGAATCCTGGTGCTATCCCATATAAATGGTTTGACTAGAAACCATTATTTAACCTCTGTGTTCTCCATCCTCTGATCCATACAGTGAGGCTAATAATACCCAAGAGACATGGTACCAAATTGTTGAGGTCCATAGCTAGTTCCTGGGAGGCCCCCAGGACCCCCAGTATTTGGCAGCAGCTTTGATTATTGGTGGTGGTGCTGTCCTCAACATCACATCCTCGTCTAAGGGAAAACAGTCCTCATGTTTCAAGTTCATACTGCAAGGTTTTGCTCTCTATTAACAAACAGGCATTGGAATGCCAATTCTTGACCTAATAGCCCACGTCTCTTTGTCAGTTGGTGCTTTTCTAAGCGTGTGTGGTAGCGTCCCTCTGCCCTGAAGGCCTTGCTGTCTGCAGATCCCAACACGTTAAGGAGGAGAGCTTTGAACCCAGTGAAAATGGTTCACACAAAGCCATGTACTCGTCTCCAGAAATGAGAGACTAGAGCAGCCGAGACGCTGGGCTCAGGTGGTCAGTTACCTGTGGGAGGACAAGCTGCCTATCCACCAGTTTGGGCTGTCGTTTGGCTCCCCAGAATGCCTTGCAAAGCCCATCCTTCCCACATGGGATCATTACACAGAGCTCCCCCAGCGAGGAAGAAGCTGTTTTTCACGGGCTGAGACATTCCTTGGGCCCAGTCAGTGTTGGGCAATTTGTGGCTTAATGGTACTTAAAAGGAAGTAGGGGTTTTTTTTGTTGTTGTTCATTTATGCATTCATCACATTTTTCTTGGGTGTTTACTATGTGTCAGGCTGGGAATCTTGAAAGGCACTTGGCCCCTAAGAGAAGAATTACCTGGCATTCTGAACTGTGTCCATTACCAATAAGTACTTAGAGAGCGTAACTTTGGCACCTGTAAATTTTGTGTCAAGTCCTCCTTCCTATTCTTTGTTGGTGGATGTTCATGTTTCCTGCCTTATGGTTCCCCCGTCCTCCCCGTCCCTTCCAGAAAGAGGCCATTATTCATGCCGATTTCTTGTGACATGCTGAGTTCTGGCCCACCTCTTCTTTCCTGAGGTTTGCGGCACCCGTGAATGTCGCTTCAGCCCCTCCTACCCTCCCAACACCTGATTTTGCAGATGTGTTTCCCTTGGTCCGTTGTTGATCGTCTCCTTCGTATAAAAATAAGAATGGTTGGAATAGCCATGGCAGACTGAGCTCTTACTCGGTGCCAGGACTTGTGCTGCAAACTTGACCCGGGTGACGGAGTTGCCCGCCCCGCTTCCTTCCACCTGCAGCTCTGCCGCGCCCTCTCTCTGGGGGCCTGATGGCACAAGGCCCCAGAGCCGGGAAGATCAGGATGGCTCAGGCAGCGGTGGGAGGAGACAGCGGCCATCAGAAGAGCACGCACAAGAATCTCTGCGCGTGTCTAATCTCTAATTGTGAACATCACACTCTGGTCCCCAAGGCAAGAATGTGTGGCAGGAAGCTTTCTACCAGAGCTGCTTTAAAAATGTCTCAGTATTTGCAAAGAGAAGTTTCCATTTTGGAAAGTGTTTTTTTGTTTGTTTGTTTTTGTTTTTGTTTAATTTTTTAAATTTTATTATGTTATGTTAGTCACCATACAGTACGTCATTAGTTTTTGATGTAGTGTTCCATGATTTGTTGTTTGCGTATAACACTCAGTGCTCCATGCAGAACGTGCCCTCCTTAATACCCATCACCAGGCTAATCAATCCCCCCTCCCCCCTCCCCTCTAAAACCCTGTTTATTTCTCAGAGTCCATAGGCTCTCATGGTTCATCTCTCCCTCCGATTCCCCCCCCCCTTCATTTTTCCCTTCCTTCTCCTAATGTCCTCCATGCTATTCCTTATGTTCCACAAATGAGTGAAACCATATGATAATTGACTTTCTCTGCTTGACTTATTTCACTTAGCATAATCTCCTCCAGTCCCATCCATGTTAATGCAAAAGTTGGGTACTCATCCTTTCTGATGACTGAGTAATATTCCATTGTATATATGGACCACATCTTCTTTATCCATTCATCTGTTGAAGGGCATCTCGGCTCTTCCCACAGTTTGGCTATTGCGGACATTGCTGCTGTGAACATTGGGGTGCATATGGCCCTTCTTTTCACTATATCTATGTCTTTGGGGTAAATACCCAGGAGTGCAATTCCTGGGTCATAGGGTAGCTCTATTTTTAACTTTCTGAGGAACCTCCACACTGTTTTCCAAAGTGGCTCTACCAACTTGCATTCCCACCAACAGTGGGGGAGGGTTCCCCTTTCTCCACAACCTCTCCAACATTTGTTGTTTCTTTCCCTGTCCATTTTTGCCATTCTAACTGGTGTAAGGTGGTATCTCAGTGTGGTTTTGATTTGAATTTCCCTGATGGCTAATGATGATGAACATCTTTTCATGTGTCTTTTAGCCATTTGTGTGTCTTCTTCAGAGAAGTGTCTTTTCATGTCTTTTGCCCATTTTTTGACTTGATTATTTGTTTTTTGAGTGTTGAGTTTGAGAAGTTCTTTATAGATCTTGGATACCAGCCCTTTATCTGTAGTGTCATTTGCAAATATCTTTTCCCATCCTGTGGGTTGCCTCTTTGTTTTGTTGACTGTTTCCTTTGCTTTTCCGAAGCTTTTTATCTTGATGAAGTCCCAAAAGTTCATTTTTGCTTTTGTTTCACTAGCTTTTGGAGATGTATCTTGAAAGAAGTTGCTGTGGCCGATGTCAAAGAGGTTACTGCCTATGTTCTCCTCTAGGATTTTGATGGATTCCTGTTTCACATTGAGGTCTTTCATCCATTTTGAGTTTATCTTTGTGTATGGTGTTAGAGAATGGTCAAGTTTCATTCTTCTGCATGTGGCTGTCCAGTTTTCTCAGCACCATTTATTGAAAGGATCATCCACCATGACCAAGTGGGATTTATCCCCGGGATGCAAGGGTGGTTCAACATTCGTAAATCAATCAGTGTGATAGAACACATTAATAAGAGGAGAGAGAAGAACCATATGGTCCTCTCAGTTGATGCAGAAAAAGCATTTGACAAAATACAGTATCCTTTCCTGATTAAAACTCTTCAGAGTATAGGGACAGAGGGAACATTCCTCAAGTTCATCAAATCCATCTATGAAAAACCAACAGCGAATATCATCCTCAGTGGGGAAAAGCTGAGAGCCTTTCCCTTAAGATCAGGAACACGTCAAGGATGCCCACTCTCGCCACTATTGTTCAGCATAGTACTAGAAGTCCTAGCAACAGCAATCAGATAACAAAAAGAAATAAAAGGCATTCAAATTGGCAAAGAAGAAGTCAAACTCTCTCTCTTCGCAGATGACATGATACTTTATGTGGAAAACCCAAAAGACTCCACCCCCAAATTACTAGAACTCATACAGCAATTAGTAATGTGGCAGGATACAAAATCAATGCACAGAAATCAGTTGTTTTCTTGTACACTAACAATGCAACTGTAGAAAGAGAAATTAGAGAAACGATTCCATTTACAGTAGCACCAAAAACCATAAGATACCTCGGAATAAACCTAACCAAAGAGGTAAAGGATTTATACTCTAGAAACTACAGAACACTCATGAACGAAATTGAAGAAGACACAAAAAGATGGAAAAATATTCCATGCTCATGGATCGGAAGAATAAACATTGTTAAAATGTCTATGCTACCCAGAGCAAACTATACCTTCAGTGCCATCCCGATCAAAATTCCAATGATGTTTTTCAAAGTGCTGGAACAAACAATCCTAAAATTTGTATGGAATCAGAAAAGACCCTGAATCGCCAAGGAAATGTTGAAAAAGAAAAAGCTGGGGGCATCTTGTTGCCGGATTTCAAGCTATATTACAGAGCAGTGGTCACCAAGACAGCATGGTACTGGCACAAAAACAGACATACAGACCAATGGAACAGAATAGAGAACCCAGATATGGACCCTCTATGGTCAAATAATCTTCGACAAAGCAGGAAAAGACATGTGATGGAAAAAAGGAAAGTGTGTTTTTATTGGAGCAGCTGATCTCTCAGGGATGCCAGGTAAATGAGGTGTCGCAGAGGTTTGCTCGTATGCCTTTGATTTGTCTCCATACGTTATCCTGGGACTGGCGGGTAACAGGTGGTCTTCCAGAAGATCACTCAGATGAGCCTGTTTTTGTTTAGCCAGTGACAGAGACCCCCGAGGAGCCCTCCACCCAGTACGTGCATATCACAGAAGCCGAAGAGGACGTTCAGGGCACACAGGCAGCCGTGGCCGCGCTCCAGGACCTGAGATACACTTCGGAGAGTGGTGAGAGCACACGCTCTGTCCCCTCAGACACTTTCCAGCGACCTTCAAGCTGTTTTTTAGTGGGCATGCTGAATGAATGAATGAATGTGTGAATGCTTCCACAGGGGTGGAAGGGGCTTTGCCGGCAGGGCTCAGCTGAGAGCTGGAGCTGATCCTGTGGTCTGGGTGTCTCTATCCCTGGCTCCGTGTGGGCCTCTCTTCCGGGTGGGGGGGGGGGGCTTGTTTCTGCTCCAGGGACAGTGGTGGCATGAGCCGGACTGAGGGCACAGCTGCTCACCTTGCCGCGGCCGCCTTGCAGAGCCTCGAGCCCGGCACTGCCTGCATCCCAGTCTTCTGAAAAGCCCCAAAGCAGGATTTTTCCATCAAATGTCATCGTTTTCAAGTATTAGATCAATTTTAAAATCAGACCACTGTGTCACCCCAGTGGTGATTCCAGCTTTATGCTTTCTTAGTCCTTTTCAGCACTTGGATGGAGCCCGAGTTAATGTGTGACCACAGCCTGATTTGCATTCAGAGGAAAGTATTAGGTAGTGGCAGGAGGTAGGAAATTGCCAGTGTTGCCGGGTTCTTAAAGCCCTAAAGTCCAGGTCATAAGCAACCTGAGTAAAACAGTCCTTTGGGCGGATTATTTACGGCTGGGCTCATTGGGCTGCCAGAGCTTGAGGGCCTTCCGGAGACAGCGCTTCCCCGTGGTGGCTGGTTAGAGCGGCAGGTTCAGCGGAGGGGAGCGGCCCAGCTGAGGCTGTTAAATGGGGCACCCGGAGCTGAGGCCCTGGCTGAGTCTGTGCTTGCTTCCTTCATGTTCAGTGGCTTCGGCGACTGCTAAGCCCTGTGCCTTCATCCCCCATGCGTGCACACATTCCTTCTGAGGCCTCTCTCGTGTCTCTTCCTGGCTCTTGGGATAAGACTCAGACCTTGCAGCCCATCGAGCCAGGCGTGCCAGCTCTGGGTCCTGGCTCCCTGTCCATCATCCCTTTCTACTCCGCCCCTGAGATTGCTCTCCCCTGGAGACTCAGCAGGTGCTCCTTTTTCCCCACACCTGCACTGCTGTGTGTGATCTCTGGGACACGGTCTGTTCCTTCCCCTACACTTTTTCTGGCCACCTCACCTGTACCTTCAGTGTTCAGATCGCATGTCATCTGCTGGGGACCCACCTGACTTTTCTGCGGCGTTCCCCTGATTGCCCTGAGACAGGACCAACCTGGTGCGGGAATAATTTGCTTACAGAACTGTCTCATGAGTCCCGAAGGAGGAGGAGAGAGAGTGTTAGATGGAGGCAGATCTTTCTATTCCCCCTGGGAGCCATGCTCCTGGTGACAGGCCTGATTAATGGCCACCGAGGGAGTAAGTGCATGAGGAGTTAAACCTTACTTAGCTCAGTAAGTTTTTAAGGTAAATATTTTGTTTAGTCTTTGGATGTTCAGAGTAGTTGGCTGCAAGGCACAGTTCACACACCCCTTACGTAGAGAGAGAGTGAGAGAGAAGGAGAGAGAGAGTGTGTGTGCGCGTGCGTGCGTGTGTAGGGCAACGCCAGGGTGGTACGCTCTGAGTATATGCAAGTCACTCACACCATCGTGTTCTTAGTCTCACACCACATCCTACCCGCGACATAGAACACATCATGCTCCCCTTCTCTGGCTCTTCCTGAGTGACTCACATTGGAATGTGGCCCGCGGAAAGCCAGTCCAGGAGGATGCAGACACTGGCGGAGACTTGGTAATATTATGCTAACACAGAGATCAAGCAGTAGTTTCTCTCCTAGTGAATTAATGATCGGGGTCAGAGTGCCGTGTTCGGGAGAGTCACAGATGGTTAAGCAGATGGTGAGAGCTGGTGGGGTATGCTCAGTAGCTGCCCTGATGCTGTGGACTCCAGTCGTTTGAGATGATTAAAATAGAACCCCAAGCTTAAATTGGTTTGGAATTTTAAAGTCCTCTGGTCTTAATAATCGAGACATCCTCCGATGTTTTGTCCATAACTTGTGTAATTTATTGGGCACACTCTCGTTGGCCACCTACTGGGCATATGCTCACAGGACACTAACTTTGCAGGTTAGTGTGTTAGTTGGTACTTCTCGGGGGTTCTCTCCTGAGAGGCAGTCTTGGGTCACCAAGTTTGGATTCAGAACATCTGGGCCTGAGCTCTGGTTTTGTGCAGTAACTGACCCAATGACCGCAGGCAAGTCTCCTGTCTTTTTTGTGCAGAGGTAACCAGTCTCTGAAATGGGGGTAATATCACACTGTCATCTCCTCACAGGATCATTTGGGCTTTTGAAATGTTCTAATAGAAAGTGCTTTCAAGCCAAAAAGCACCATACAAATTATTCTGCTGTTGAAATTGAGCGATTGCGGAGAATCTGTGCTTCCCCTGGAGTGGGTACTGCTCCCCAGTGGCCTCTAGTAAGGTCTGGTTTTGCACTCAGTGCCCCCCAGCACTGGTGGGCTTACTGGTGTCCCGTTTGCTTCTTCCCTGTAAGGTGACCGCCTTGACCCCACGGCTGTGAACATCCTCCAGCAGATCATCGAGCTGGGCACCGAGGCCCATGACGCCACTGCCGTGGCCTCCGTGGTTGCCATGGCTCCAGGGACGGTGACTGTCGTGAAACAGGTAAGGGCCTTCCCCGCCCCGTTAAATTTCCTCTCTCCACACTGCCACACACCTTCTCTCTCTCCTGCCCTGTAGGTTGTCAAGGCTGAATTTCCCTAAGGTGGGATTGGGAAGGAGGTTGGCTTAGGCTCATGCATTTTCTTCCTCTGCCTCCGATTATTATGGGAGTGTGTCTTTAGTAGTTCCATAGGCGGAGCTTTGTTTTAGGGGAGGAGTACAATATATTTTTTAAAATTCTGGAAACCTTTCATTCATTTCCCTTCCAAGAATCCCAGTATGAAAATGAGCAGATGTGGACACACTTGGACACATCTGTCGTGAAAAGCAGCCCTTGGGTGGGAACTGTGGGAGCAGCCGGAGAAGCTGGGAGGGCTTCTCAGTAGACTGGCCTCGTGAAAGATGCAGCGTCGCCTGGTCGATGCCTGAGCCGATGGGAAGGAAATGATCAGTTTTTGAATAAAGGTTACTCGACTTAATTGATAAACTGGCTCATTTCCTCCCCTTCTATCCTCAGAGGCTTCAGCTGTTAAAATGCAGTGTGATTGGTAATGAGATCATCCTTTTTCTCGGTCTGTACCTCTCTCTCTACTATCTCTTGCTTCATTTTACAAAAGCTTTAGCTTGGCTTCCACAAATACTTAAAAAAGCTAAACAATGGTAAACGTGCCAGACTCGGGCAAAGTTCAAGTTCACGGAGAGAGCTGAAATGCAGACCATAGAGTTTTATAGCTGCCCATTCTTGGAATCATTCATTCAGAAACTACTTAGTAAATGCCCACTCTTTCCGGGGTTCCAGGAGACAACCACCACTGTGGTCACTTTCTAGTGCGAAAAAAGGTAAAACAGAAATGAACAGGTGATGCACAAAGAATGTTAAATGAACAGGTGCAGTGGAGGACAGTAAAACAAGGAGAGGGCTATGGGCACCAGAGCATGCTCGGGGGATATTTTATAATGGGTTGTTGGGGGCAGATTGCTGATGTTTGAGCAGAGGTGTGTCTTAAGAGAAGCATGCAGGATTGACTGTGCATTTGGTATCGAAGTTTATAACAGTAAACAAGGAAATGTGGAATGGTGAACTTCACGAAAGGAGTAGGTTTTCTTGGCATTAACAAAGAGAGATATTTCTTAATGTAGCTTTCACATGGGGACTCCTGAGTGCTGTCTCCCCGGCAGCGTCCCTTTGATGAATCAGAAGTAGGCTTCCCAAGCTGTCTCTGCAACTGTCCCCCCAGGTGTGCCCAGAACACAACGCAAAGCCTAAGATCCAGGCTAAGTAATTCTCTGGGGAATTAGTACATTCTGGTTCAACTCCGGACTTCATGATCCGCAGACAAGACTCAGCACATCTAGATGAATGTTGGGACCGCGTGTCCTAGAAACGCTCCTCCATTACTGTGGTTTGTCTCGAGAAGAACCTGGACGGCAGTGCCACAGTGAGACTTGGTGTGTCAGTCTGCAGTGGCCTGCAGCCCGTTGGTTGGGAACAGACTCGTACACTGCTTTCCTTTGTATTTACTAGACTTTTGAGAATTGCACGAAGGTGCCAGCGATTGTGATTTGCCACTGCTCAGGGACATGATTTATTGAGCATCACAGACAGTGCAATGATACATGAGGTTGCCGGCTTAGGATACAGCTTCGATGTGCTTCGAGGCATTAGGTCGACAGCACTACACAGGATGAGGCAGATAAGCATCCAGTCCGACCAGTGTAAACAGGGACAATGTGTTTGCAGTAGCAGGAAACAGTGGGATCCCTTAGAGAATCTCGTGGTTTATTGAAAACACGGGACTAGGAGGAGCATCAGTGTCTAACACAGTCCAGAGCAACTGCATTTGGAAATAATGGCCAAGAGCATGTGTCCTTGTCATCATCCTGTGTGCCTGGCCGGGCACCTGGCTCCCTGGGGCTGCTGGTACCTGATGGATGGGGAATGGACAGATGCACCAGGGGGCAGGTAGGCAGCAAACACCCACACCTTTGGCAAAGGGGCATTGTGTGAAGGAATGCCTCTGAATTCAGTTGTCCCCTCATTTAAATTTAAAGAAAAGTGTTTTTTTTGGTTTTTGTTTTGTTTTGTTTTAAGATTTTATTTATTTGAGAGAGAGAGAGCGCACAAGCATGGGGGAGGGGCAGGCAGAGGAGAGGGCAGGGAGAGGGAGAAGCAGACTCCCCTTCGAGCAGGGAGCCCGATGCAGGGCTAGATCTCAGGACCCTGAGATCATGACCTGAGCCGAAGGCAGATGCTTAACCGACGGAGCCACCCAGGCGCCCCGTGACAACTGTTTTTATTAGAGAAATTGGTTTTGATTTTTTTTTTCTTTAATTAGACTTTGGTTTAGGATTTTTCAGTAGAGGGATTATATCTGCTTAATGAGCATGCTTAGGCCACTTCATTGTGAACTCTAGCATATCTATTGGCATCAAATGCTTCTCTTCCTTCACTGTGTGGGGGGCACCTTAGTGCTGGGGATTTCGTCCTGTTGCATCCCAGAATAGCACACGTACTAGTTGCTCAGTAAATGTTATGCAGGATGGAGCGTGCTGTGATCTTCCTGTTTGGATTCTCTAATTCTATCCTGTAAGGCAGGCAGACTGGAAAGAAAAAAGCAAGAACACCTTGTCATAAAGTACATAGTATATATTGCAGAAAAAAGGGTTTTCAGATTACTACTGCATAGCGTATTTTGAGATCTTTTGAAACTTTCCAGTTTTATGCATACTTCCACAGGGCCAGAAACAAATTCTAGGTGTGTATGAATTGATTCTGGAAGTTTAAAAATTTTAAGATTTCTTTCCCATGTGAAACATAGTTATATGCTCTGTTCATAATTTATTTCTTCCTGATGTATTAATGTTAATTGAAAAGGATCTTTTTTTATATGAAAATTTATTAGTAATAATTGGAAGTGATTAATTTTCCAGTCTTCTTGGGTTTTCAGTTTCCAGGATAAAACTAATGGCAGGCCTGGTGGGCAGGCTGGGGGTGTTGGATGCAAAGAGCTGAGAAAAAAATGGTTTCTTAGGTCGGTTTCTTCTTATTTTTAAACGAGACATGGAAAAGACTCAGCCCATAATTCAGGCCGTTTAAATATTCAATTGGACACAGAACCATGTCCTCAATGATTTCCTGTCACGTCACTTTTCTCAAGTGTCAGCATTAGAAGCAGATTCATGGAGATTAAGCATTTTGAAGTGTTTGAGAAGACAAGTCTTTATATGCCCCGCACCAACTGGGCCCACGGAAACACACGAGAGCTTTGAGTGCAACTAACTGTGCATTTGTGAAGACCAGGCAGTTTTCATTAAATAAATTGGTTTCTTTCTTTTCTTTTTCTTAAATCTTGTTTTAGGGTTTTATGCAGAGGAAATTTATCTTTGAGTAAGAAAACTGCTGTAAGTAGATGAAGTGTAAGACCTACCAGCACAGGAAAACCATAAGCATCTCTGAATCAAAGTTAATTATTTTAAAGGAAAAGATAAATACAATCACCATCACCATCCTGGCTCATGGCTTAAATGCCTCTTTGCTGTTCTTATGGATTAAAATTTATTTTTGAGACGAAAAGTAATGTTTTCTTTACTGGTCCACGGCATTCGCGTCGCAGACTTTTACCGCCCCCCTCCCTATGTACTCCGTCCTCCTCTGTGGCAACGGCAACAGATTCCCTCAGACTTGGCTCAAAACCACACAGATTTATTATGTAATAATTCTGGAGGTCAGAAGTCTAAAATCGATTTCAAACTGAGCTAAAATCAAGGTGTCGACAGCTGCATTCCTTCTGGGAAGGATTCCTTTCTCGAATTTTCCAGCTTCTAGAGGCCCCTGGCATCCCTTGACTCGGATTCCCTTCCCTCCGCCTTCAGGGCCAGCAAGGCAGGGCGAGCTCTTCTCACACCCCAGCGCTCTGGCGTCTGCTTCCTCACCTTCTCTCAGCCGGACCCTCTGGTCTCCCTCTCATAAGGACCCTCGTGATTCCATGATGCCCACTTGGATAATCCGGGATAATCTCCCCATCTCAAGCTTCTTAATCACATCTGCAGAGTCCCCTTCCTCGTGCAAGGTAACATCTTCAAAATCTGGGGATTAGGACAGGGACATCTTTGGGGTGGGGAGGGCATTATTCTGCTTGTCACACTGGGTTCTGGGGTTAAGACAGGTCCTGCTCTCAAGAGGCAGGTAGCCCGGCGAGGGAAATTATTTACTCTTTTATTCAACAAACACCCCCTGAGCTGCTTCTACCAGCCAGGTGCTGTTCTTGGCTCTCAGGGTATCTCAGTGAACAAGAAAGATGAATGGTATACTTGAGGAGCTGACCATCCTCTAAATGAGGGTGATAGCCAATCTACACACCTATGATAAATAACATGGTGTGTTAGAGGGGAAAGGGGAAAAACGAGCCAGCAGAACCAGTCAAGGCCTTAAACAAGCAGCTCTAACGGAGAGTAAGGTAGGCTTTGGGGAGGTCGGCCAGTGCCCCAAGAGTGCTGTGGGAGCACCAGGGCCCTGCCTAACTTGAACCTGGCTCTGGGATCGGGGCACGTGTTGGGCAGAGAGGGCTTCGTGGATGCCATGGTGCCTGAATGGAGTCCTGGACGGTAGCTAGGAGTTGGGTGGGGGCAGGAGCTAGTGCTCAGTGCTGGGTGACTGGGGGCAGGGGGAGATGGCACATGAGGCCCCGCTTGAGTTAAATGATGGGCTCTGTTGTAACCACCAAGCAGTGACAGGGGTGTTGCAGCCCAGAAGGCACTTCACCTGGTCTCTGCCTTCACTGCCCCTTCCCACTGCTCAAAGGCCAGTGGAGAAAGGATGAGTCCAGACAGCCCACAGGTTCCTGTCACTTCTTAGAGCCAGATGACCTTTCGCTATGGGCTTCTTGACTTATGTTACCCTCTTAAAGGCATGTTGGCATTTTTAAGAAATCACAGTTCCAGGTTCTTCCATTTAGTCACAGAGCCCAAGTAGAGAATCTGTGCTGAGCATTCCTGCTATTGGA